TGCGTGAGCGACCGTCGGTTGGCGAGAAAAGGGCATACAAAGGTTTGTTTACAAAAAGCTTGTATGCCCTTTTCACATGTGGCTCTTGATTTCTATTATTTAGGGGCCGTCCATTAATTACGTAAGACTAATTCGAGATTTTTCAACCCTCTTGATTTTTTTTCTCACAAATCCGAAAAATAATAAATACCTAGACTCCCCTCGCCCCGTAGTAAGTGAACGACCTCTTACATGCATCAGTTTGTTTTGCATCTGAACTTAACGCATGCCATTTCATTCTCAGATAATCTTTTAGTTAAATTTAAATCTGCGCGATTACAATACTTTCCGCATTTTAGAAGAAAAACACGAGTTTAGCACCCAGAGTTACTATTCTCCGCAGTGTAAGCAAAGTGAGGAGATGAAAATAATATTGCACTCGCATGTACAGCTCACCTCACTCGAGTGTGATACAAACGCTCTCTCGTGCGTTGGCCTTGGCACTAGCACCAGTTTCGAGAGACGGAGCGCTTGAATTGTCAGTGAAAATCCCCGCAGAGATTGCCCCACTGGGGTGAGTCACCACGGGGAGGATTTCGAATATTGCTTTAATTTAAACATATATCATTTTCATTTTACTGTAAGGGGTCATCCACAAAATATGAAATGTTTTTTGAGAGATTATTAGTTTAATAAATAAAATACATTAATTTGACATCTCCCTCTCTCTAAAATGTTAAGAAGGAACCTAAATGTTCATAGTTGTGAACATTTCCATGTTAGATTCCATTCAAATATTATGTAACGTGAACCGTCACGCTCTTTAAAAAAATTAATACATGGAGTTTATGGGTTTTTTACGTAAGCACTTAGGGAGGAGGCATTTCCTTTCGTTTTCCTACATAGGAGGGAGGAAGACTCCGAAATATCTTACGCATTCACAAGCTATATACAGACTTTTGAAATATTCGATGGAATATCTTACAAAATAAACACGATTAAGATTGAATTATTGGATACACAATATAATATCTTATGTTAGAAAATGTCTACCACCCTCCCCCCATTATAAGAAACTGTAAAAAATGTTGAGACCCCCTGCCTCATATTAACTTACAGAATTTGTGATTATCCCTGATTTATTTTTGTTTATAATCAAACAAACATCTGACTGGTGTAACACGACGTCAACGGCGGTACTCTGTAGTCTAGGAGCTTAATACAAAGGTGACACACAAGGAAGAAGTATTAGTGTGTTTACTAAAATGAACTATGGCTATTTTGTTATGGCAAGTTTTGCTATAAGAAATGCTCTTCGTTTCACATCAAAGATTGATAAATTGCATAGGAAATCAGTTTGGCACGGCATTTGCGACCAGCATACACCTTCCGGTTGGGTGAAACAGGTCAAAAACTGTCCAAAATCCGCCCATAAGTTATTTTGTTTTGAATTTCTGTATGGCAAAATAGTGAACTTTTCGTGAACATTAACGGCAAAGAACTCACCAACACTGGGAGACCGTGAGTTCCTGCCCACCTGTCATAAAACCATCTCGTTCCGTGGTGCTCTACAGTGGTCAGCTCGATTGCGCTGTTCTTCTTCTCACCGAAGAGAGAGTTGAAACAGGTTAATAGAAAATTTGCCACTCTCACACACTCCCAATCCGAGATCCAGCCTGACAAAATATTTTAATTTTACTAATGATCATTTAAACATAACAAAACATATGTAAAGTCGCTTTAAGTTTTGAAAAAAATTACTTGAAAGTTGCAAAAAGCTACACGGCGAATGAGAACGACTCAAATTTGAGTTTAGTTCACTCATAATCGCCAAAAGTGCAGGAACTCAGCGATGAGTTAATTTGCCTAATGTTTTCCCAGGTTTTTCCAGGATTTTCCAGGGAAAAATTCCCGAATTTGAGAAAAGTAAAGATTGGATTCACTCAGTCTATTGGTACTACTCCGAGACTGAATAAAATTTTCGTCAATTTCCTCATTTTCCGGCAGATTTTTTAGGTTTTCCACAGGAAACCATGGGACAAATTTTACTCATCGCTGAGTTCCTGCACTTTTGGCGATTATGAGTGAACTAAACTCAAATTTGAGTCGTTCTCATTCGCCGTGTACATGAATTTCTAAATTAGGAGAAAATTCTTGACATAATCCTTTTGCATCCTCTATTGGCGTAGGTAAGGAAGGTGCCAAGGGGGCCAGGCCCTCTTCAGCATTATCTAATCCCCCACCCTCTCCCGGAAATTTTGGGTGTTTTTTTATACATTGGTATTTTGTCAAGCTTTTTTGCGGTTACTTTTTATTTTTTATTGATTTTTATGAATGTATACTTTTCTTAATGTTAATGTAATGATAATTTATATTATATCGACTTTTAATCGATAGCATAGTAAGACCAGGCCAAGAGTTCAAGAATGTTTCTTAAACCTCAGGGAACTTTGTAAAACTTCAAGGACTTCTAAGAATTTCAGGAAACATCGTAGAAATTAACGAAACTTAGTAGAAATTCTGATAACTTCAGACAAGTTCTTAGAAACTCAGGGAGCTTTGGAGAAATTCAGAAAACTGCGTAGAAGTGGGAACTGTATTAATGTTTTGGGATCTTCGTAGAAATTATACATCACTTCATTTCTGGGAACCTCATTATTATTATCGTTGGCAAAAAATTCAACGAATCAAGCTAAGAGTGTATGGAAACATAGTAGGCATTGGTTGTCAGGATAAGTTCATTTGTTTACATCATGGTTTCACCGGATCAAGCACGTCGTGATTCAATCTTGCACGCTCGAAACGAAAATCCCGGTCTATCCACTCCTGACAGTTTTCGATCAAATTCCTGGGCAGGAATGTTATACCTCGGTTGACCGAAAGAATGTAAAATTAAAAAGAAGTTAAAATTCCCCCAAAAGGTTCTTGTCTGCCAAGCAATCTGCAGTTATGGGCGAAACTTTCGTTACTTCTGGGACTATGAACCAGCAAATTTACCAAAAGGAGTGCCTACGGAAGAGACAGCATGAGGTCGGTTGCCTATTCTGGCCGGATTTGGTCAGCTGCCACGACTCAAATTCCACCAAACAGTGGTACAGCGAAAATGGCGTCACAATTGTTTCCCAAGGAGATGAATCCTGCCACTACGGCGGAACTAAGGCCAATTGAGGAATACTGGTCAATTGTGAAGCACATACTGAAGAAAAAGGGTGGAACTACGGTAATGCAATTTGACAGCCATACAAGAGGGAACAGGGCTCGTGCAAAAGATGATGGGCCGACCTACTAATGTATAGCTGTTACATTGAAATATGAAAACAAAAAGCGCATTTTAAGCCCCAACAAGATTTTCGTGTCTGGATTTTTTCGTATTTTAGCCTTCAAAAGGAATATTTTCGAGGGGCCAAAAAATCATCCATTTAAAGGCCTATTGACAACAACAGTAACAATAATAGTGCATTATTTCAGTTCATAAAATGCACTTGTTTTGAATACAGTCACTATGCAAGAGGAGCGTAGAAGTGTGATTTTTCCTGGCTAAAGTGTCTTTAGCATAGAAACACCGTATGCCGCGTGCTCAAAACGTACAAGGAAACTTATACGACGAATCGTAAGCCTCAAAGTAAACGCCAGAGTGGAATTGCCAACCGTCAGCTCCATTGGAAGATCGTGACATTCGTCAGAAGCAACCCAAATATGTCCGATCGCGATTTTTAGTAAAAAGTATAATTCCGTCCGTCGTACAGTGCAGCGAATTTACCGCGCCAGTAGGCAACCAAATCAATCACTCAAGTAGAATACCGTAGCTAGAACCCGTGCTCGAAAGCTGCATGACAACCTGCTGACCAAGTCCAGTTGGTGTATATTTATGGATGATGAAACCTATGTACAGGCCGACTTTGGACAGCTTCCAGGACCAACATTTTACAAGGTGAAGGCTCGAGGAGGTGTCCCTGGCAGATTCATTTTTTTTTTTTTTTTGCGGAGCTGGCAGAGAATTTGCAGCTGCGGCCAGAAAACAAAGGTTTTCATCACTGAGAATTTGATGAACTCGGGGGTTCATAAAACCGAATGTCTCCAGAAGCGAATTTCGCGAATTTTGGCCGGATCTTGCGAGTTGTCTACAGCCGGGAAGTACAACAATAGTACAATGACAACGGAGTACAGATTTTTTTTTTCCGAAAACCCTCAATCCGCGATTTGCCCAGTTCAAACCCATTGAAAACTATTGGGCAATTATGAAGAGGACACTGAATGAAAGACATCAAAACGATACCTAAGATGAAACCGACGAAACCATTGTGTACCGCTTGATGGGTCGTATTCAGGGAAAACTTTGGGGTGAGAGGCAATCACGCACCACTGGCGTCGCTGTCTCAAATATTTGATCTCCATGAAATGAATCTCATCAAATTAAGTCCACAAAGACAATGGTAAATTGAACATTACCACAGTGCGGACTTAAATTATTATGTCACCAAATTCTGGATCAACAATAGAAAAGGGCTCATCAGCATTTGTAAACAAACCGTTCTAAAGCCCTTTCCTCACAAAGCAAAGGCCACCCATGCAAACAAATACCATCATCCTACACGATGATAGTGTTGGTTTGCGTGGGAGGCCTTCGCTTTGTGAAGAAAGGGTTTTAGAGCGGTTTGTTTACAAATTCAAATGGGCCCTTGTCTATTGTTAATCCAGAATTGTGCAAACTTTGACCAACACCTTATTTCAATTTGTCGCGATTTTGGCTGCTTTAAAAAAATATAAACAGAGATTAGTGAATCGGGTTTTGCTAGCTTAAAGTTCATTCTCCACAAAGATTAGATTGAAACCAATCCAAAAGCAAAAACAACAACAACAACAACTAGCAGCGTCTACTGATAACCCCCTACGATGTTCGACTTTGTTTTTAGTCATCGGAACATTGGTCGTTCGGTTTGATTAATGATAAACAGCATCATCTTTGTTCCCCCCTTTCGATCAGAACCAGAATGCTCAGTCCATATGTGACAAGGGAAGGATCCAGATCGGGCAGTGATTTTTACACAATCTCAGTCAGGGAAACGTACGACGTTAGTAAAATGTTAGTTCAAGTCGTGGTAGTTGCAGTAGTTATCTACTTTTTGGGAATATTTCTGCGGGAAAGGAATAAACTGAAGAAAATTGCAGCGCACTTTGGGGGACCGAAGCCGCTGCCGGTGATAGGAAATTTACTTGAGTTCAATACGGACATTCCGGGTAAGTATGCATCCCTGTGCCAGTTTGGGGTTGACAAGCTCTCAGTGGGAGCGTAATAAGCCATGAAGAAGAAGTTGACCACGATAAAGTGTGATTTATTTACGAGTGGAAAAATGCACAGTGGTTATCGTGGATTCCCAAAATGCATAGCTTTGGCAATGTAGATTAAATTAGCAAACATTTATATCGATCCATAATAAAGTACATATATGCCCATGGTCACAATCAGAATTGTTAATCGATAACCGTCGATAACGTGTGCAATGCACATTCACCAGTGCAGACGTTAACGCTGACGTTATCGTCGGTTATCGATTAGCAACCCTGTTCAAAATTAAGAATCATCTGGATACATACCCCTTTCAATCTTTGAGATCCAGAAGCTATCGTTTGAATTAGTAAAGTGTATGGGATTGATCTGTTTAATTGATTTTACAGTAAATTAACAAGTAAATTTTAGCCCTCTGCACTACCCTATAATCTCCGGATATGCTCAGAAGATCCACCATTATTTGCTTACAGGAAGCCTTCAGAATTACTCATTCCACTGGGCTTTTCCTCCAGGACTGATGAGTTTCTTATTGTTTCACTTGAAACACTTGATCGTCCAAGATTAAATTGTGGTTAATTTCATGCTGGACTTAGAAATGTCCAGAACCTTGATAATATTTATAAAATTAAGAACTTCTAGCACTCCGAAATTTGTCCATGTCCAGAATAATGAATGTCTTTCCAAGTTTAATAAGGACTGTTCATTAATGAAAGAAGACACCTGTTTATGAAAGGAAAATATTTGTTTTCGAACAAATTCTTAAGTTTACTTTATATAAATGAAAATCAACATACATCTGACCGATGTCACGTGAGTTGGAATGTTTCCTTCTCATTTCTGAAGAACGCTCGGACTTTTCTCTTGATACCGCCCATTAGATTCTGCATAACTTTCTTCTTAACTTTTCGTTGTGCTGCAGACCAAATTTTCTTGAAGCAGTCAACAGAGCTTACTTCTCTTCCACCTTTCTTAAGATGCCGTTTAATTGTTGCCCAGTATCTTTCGATAGGACGCAGTTCAGGGCAGTTTGGGGGATTTTGGAATTTTTCGAAAAAATCGACTTTTTCCTTCTTGAGCATCTCCAACGTACCAGAAGCATAGTGAGCAGATGCCAGATCCGGCCAAAACAATGGAGGATCCGTATGCTTCGGTAAATGGGTAGAAGATGTTTTTTGATGCATTCTTTTCTGTAATTTTGATTGTGCCCGTTGTGAAATACGAAGAACTCTTCAGGCCACAGGAGCAAATGGCTTGCCACACAAAACCTTTTTTTAAATTTTCGGTTCGAATGTATCGCACATCATCAGGCACATCTGTCCTCTGCTCAGCGTTGAAAAATTGCGGCCCAGGAAGTGTTCTGGTATCGAATTGAACGTACGTCTCGTCGTCCATCCAAATGCACCGGTTCGGCTTTTGAAGGAGAACATCGTACAAATTCCGTGACCGTATTTTCGAAGAAGCTTTCTGTGAATCCGTCCTTTTGGATGCTTTTTGCTTCTTGTAGGTTCTAATATTGTTGCGTTTTTTTGATATTCTACACAGTTCCGACGCTAATGTCCAATTTTTTGGCAATTTAACGAACGGAACGCAGTTTATGCGATTTCAAAAGGCGTGCTGTTTCAGCTCCTTTGTCTGGTCCGATTCTCCCTTTTTGCGCCCAGATTTCGGTAAATCTTCAAGAGAACACGTTTCTCCAAACTTCTGAACAATATTGAACACTGTAGATTTACTGCACTTCACGCTTTTTACCAATTCAGTGCCAACATTTCAAAGGGGCGTAATTGTATTTGTAAACAATGGCTTTAGCCGTCGATTTCTCGCAAATAAAAGCTCACTCATGAAAATTAATTGCACCAGCAGATAGAGGAATGTTTCCTCGACCAGCTAGCATTGTTAATTTGGAGAAGTGAGATTTTATTTGCGAGAAATCGACGGCTAAAGCCATTGTTTACAAAAGCAATTACGCCCCTTTGAAATGTTGGCGCTGAATTCTCGAAACGACAACTTTTCGGAAAACCATTTGTGCAGAATTAATTTGCGAGTTGATAATCTGATCCAACCCTAAGAGGAGGAGGTGATAATTGGCGTCTTACTCTTTTATTTCTATCTCTATCTCTATCTTTATCTATCTCTATCTCTATCTTACGTACATGAAATCGACCAATCGGGAGCTGGTTCACGTTTGACATAAAAGTGGTTACCTTTTCTCTTAGATCCGACCCGACGTTCAAAATTTCTAACTTTTTTTTTTTAGGTGTGTGGCCAAAATAAACAATGTTTTTACACACTGAGTAAAAATTCACAATTTTTTGCTACGTTTTAACGTCCACTTTCTTTAATGAACAGTTCTGATCCCGACAAAAAAACGGTCAAATGGTCAAAGGACAAATTAATGGTATTATAAAAAAAAAAACAGAAGGACAAAAGGTCGAAGGAACAAAAAGTCGAAAGGACAAAAGGTTGAAGGGACAAATGGCTGAAAGGATAAAAACCGGATCATTTCAAAACCGAACAACCAAGACAAAAAAATTGAAACGACAAAATTTCAATTGAACAAAATATAGATTGCAGCTAGAATAAGAATAACCGTTAAGGGTTTTAGTGACAAAACATTATTCTGATCAAACTATTTTTCAAGTTACTTGACTTATACGTTATACCTATTTTTAGAATATATGACAAAAGGTCGAAAGAGAAACGGTCAAGGACAAATAGTCGAAGAACAAAAGGTCGAACTGAACTTAGATGGACAAAGGGTTGACTGGACCAATGTTTGAATGGACAAAAGGTCAAATTGACGAAAGGTCAAATAGCCAAAAGGTCGAATCGACAAATGGTCGAATGAAGAAATGGACGAAAGGCCAAATGTGGACGTTAGGCCGAAACATACAAAAGGTTGAATGGAAAAATGCTATAATGGACATAAGGTCGAAATGGACAAAAGGTTGAAATGAACAAAAGGTTGAAATGGACAAAGGTCAAAATAGACAAAAGGTCTAAATGAACAAAAGGTTGAAATGAACAAAAGGTTAAAACGAGAGGTGCGAAACATCCATCTCAATTTTAGATGGTCGAAAAATCTTACGTCAGCGAATCAATCTATTAAAAATCTTTTGTCAAATATTTGACGCCATTATGATATACCAGATCCATCTCTGTTAGATGGAGAATCATGACTAACTTATGGAAAAAGGTATATTCTAATGAAAATAATTCTCTAACCGAAAGCCACCATCTTGGATTAAAAAATGGCGTGAGACGTCAATTTCTGTTCCCTTCACGTCACCCGATTCCAAAAATACCAATATGATGGGATATTTGACAGTATTTTCCAGTTTTTCTCGAACCAGAAGCTGCCATCTTGGATTTCAAAATGGCGTCAGACGTGGATGTCTGGTTCCTACACGTCACCCTGGAACCCTGGGTTTTGTCAAATAAGGTAAATATTTACATTGTTTGTACCAAAGAATTGCTTATCGCATATAAGCTTATTAGCTTATTTTTTAGTCTAGATGCATTAATTACATATTTGAGAGCTCTCGATGCCTGCACCATTTTTGCATTTGTATAATTGTGTGGCAAGTACAATTATACCCTATGTCCAGGGAAGTCTTTAAATTTTTCAACACGAAAAATTTCTAAACCGAACCGGGAATCTAACCCAGCCACCTCCACCTGTGCCTTTACCGACTGAGCTAAGTGAGGCCTAACTGTTGTCTATTCGACCTTTTGTTCATCTAAGTTCAATTCGACCTTTTGTCCATTTCGATCTTTAGTCCCTTAGACCTCATGTCATTCGACGTTTTGTCCTACAGCCATATTTGTATGTGATCCAGCAAATGTTTAACCGAATTCCATCAGGAAAAAACCAAGCTTCTTTCGGTTTCTTCCGAAAATGGCTATAGTGGTCACTGAGGATAGCTCCAGTCCATTTGTCGGAAATGAAAGGATTAGGATTTGTGAAGATGACAAATTCATTTTATGATTATTAAAATACTTATAGCGTGACGAATTAAAACTTAACTATTTATTATTTTTCTCATAAGCTGTTTGACAATTTGGATGGTTAAAAGAAAGATGTCCAACGTCAGTTAAAAACTGCTCGTATTGCAGGGCTGGTAGCGAGTCAATTTTTAGTGACTTGGTCACGTTTTTCAAGTCAGCCACTAAAAAGTCTCTTTTTTTAAGGCCAAGTCACTTAAGTCACTTTTTCTTGTAATAAGTCCCTATTCTCAACTTTGTTGGCGTGAATTTATTTCAAGATTGATTATTCTTTGCGTTGTGACGTTTAATCTTCTTTCTCTATATACAGGATGTCTACTTATTTTTCTGGATAAAATTACCTGAGTTTTCCAAGTAAGTAGATCCAAGATCTAAAAATATTCAATGTCTTGAAGTTTTGTATTCCATGTACAAGTTAAGTTCAATGATCTATTTATTTATTTTTATGTACAAAAATAAAAGCTTTAATTCAAATTAGTTATTAACTTTATGAAAGAATAGAGACCTTCATTGTAGTCCCATTTACTTTATAACAATTGCAGGAAATGCTGAGAACAAACTACAGAAACATAAGGGAAGTTAACATGCTGAAAATATGGGAAACTTACTGGAAGCTGTAAGAACCTCAAAGCGGTTATTTTAGCATCCAAGACTTTTCAGTAATATTTATGAAGTTCCTAGAATTTCAGAGAACTTCACAGGTGTCAAGCGAATTTGAGAAATTTAAGGAAACTTGAGGGGTATTGTGAAATTTTTTTAAAAGTTCTAAGCATCTCACAAAAGCTGGATCTAGAAGTCTTTTGGAGAATTTCAGATCTTAAGAGCAGTTCCCGTAACCATTCCAGACTTTTGTAAATTTAGATAATAAATCGAGAAACCTTATTTTTTTTCGGATTTCAGGGAAGTGCAGAGACCTTCAGAGAATTGATGAATACTTCAGAAATAT